AAGATCAGAATAAGAGAAAAAGAAGAGTGAGAAGAGAGTGCCATCATCACTAATTTGCATGTCTCTTGTCTTAATCATAAAATCACAATGTTGGTCCTCAACTTTGAAGATTTTTGCACTTTACTTCTTAAGTTTCAGAATTTTACAATTTCATCCTCAATCCCACCACACTCAACTTCATAAAACTTTGTGATTGAGTTCTAAACTCTTGATTTTTAAGAGTTAAGTACTATCCTGCACAAATAATAGAAATAATATAAAATCAAGCAAAAAATATATCAAATCCATTCAAAGTACTAATAAAATAAAGACTAATTTGTATCATATTATATATTTAAAAATTCAACCTATCAAAAACTATAAAAAAAATTTAATAAATTTTGTATTGAAACTTTATTAAACTTTTGTTAAGTTATTAATATTAAATTTCTCCTAAAAAAAAAAAACAAAAAAGGAGTACCAAAAGAAAGATTATGATGGTGATAGTTAAAAATAACTTTTGAAGAGTATAAAAGCTATGTTGACCTCTGAGATATAAATATAAGTAAAAATGAATAAAAAATATGATATTAAGGAGTTGTGTCATTTATATTTTTGCCTAAAATATTTCTAATAAAAACAAACAAAAAATGTCTAATTGTCATAACCTAATTTTTTGACTAAATATTTATTTTCAAGTTTTTTTTTATAAAAATTCAATGGCCATCTTTTGTATGTCCTAATATATTTCATTTTTGTGATATGAGCTTATTCACATGAATAAGGCACTAAGATGAAGAACCAAAGAAATGGAGAATGGAAAAACTTCCGAAAAAAAAAAAAAAGGGAGAACCAAAAATGGAGAGGGGTAAGGCATGAACGGGCCACTATACTTGGACCCAATTTTGACTTCCTTGAAGCATTACTTGGAGAAAAAACCCAAATCTCCCTTTCAACTCCGTCCTCAATAGGCTCATGGGTATTTTCATTCACAACCATAATGTGAATTCCTTATTCTTCATATCTTGCAGCAAGCCCTTGCACTTGGTAAGAGCTTGCTATGAGAAGGAAAAGTGGAAAACCAACAGAATTCGCCGAGCTGTTATTGTTTCTCCAGGCTGTTGATACCAAGGTGCAATTCTCTGCTAAGCCATATATTTAATTTATATTTAATTAATTATTTCATTAAAATGATTCATATAATATTAATATTAATAATAAAATTAAATCAATATTTATTACTTTTATATCAATTAACACATAAAATACATTAATTATATTATTAATTTATATCTTTGAAATACATGTTAAAAAAATCATTTATTAACCTAGCTCTAATATATATAGTAAGATAGATGGCCCTTATTCATTAAAACTTAGGTCCAATGGGCATGAATTAATGGATTAAACCCAGAAACGTGTCTCAAAAGCCCGATTTAAATTATCAAAATCCATTATTATAAAACTCAATCCACAAATCATCTTACCAAAAAATCAATCGAATCTCAGCTCCATGGCTCTTACGCACTTCCTCTCCGGCTCACTCTCCCTTCTCTTCCTCCACCATCTCCTCCTCTTCAGCACATTCCGGCCTGTTTCCGGTGTCGGCATTAACTACGGAACTCTCGGAAACAACCTTCCTTCACCCAAGAAAGTAGCTCAGCTCCTCCAATTCACCCCACTCGTTAAGGTCAAAATCTACGAGACCAATCCGGGAATCCTCGAACCCTTCTCCAACACTGCCATTGATCTCATCATAGTAGCCGGAGAAAACCGGGTTGTTTCCATTCTTTTATTAAATTTCTTTTGTTTATTTAGCCGGTTAGACCGATCCCACTGACCAAACTAATCTGTCAATTTAATAAATATTATTAAATTTATTTTATCAATTATAAATTAT